CAAAATAGGCACATATTTACATAATGTGGTCTTTCCCTGTTTTTCTTATTTCAAATTCAGTATTATATTCTAGATTACGTATCTTAAACACCTACAACTATCCAATTTTGATGTATTAATTTTGTGTCCTAAAAATTAATTGATAATTGGCTATGTATACTCTTTAGGGGATTAATATAACCAAAACAAAGTTTATAACTGCAATAAAGAACCAAGGACAACTGCTAAGTGTTGGTATATTGATAAACTGATGACAAGGGCTCAAAGTATCATAATTTTATTTTATTTTATTTTTTAAAAAGATTTATTTATGCGTACAAGAACTGGGGTAGGGCCTCCCCTGGTGGCGCAGGCAGCTGAGCGCTGTGCTGTGAAGCTGTCCACAGCTTCTGCAGGCCGGTTGGATCCCAGCCAGCTGGCAAGGGTCCCACATAGCGCGGCAGACTTCTCCTGTCGCACCCGCTGCTCCCCTCAGCAGTGTATTTCATCAGTCTGCCTGTTCTGTTCCCCGCTCTGTCTCTGGTGAATCCTCTCACCCACCTACGCATCTGGCCTGGACCCCAGTTCTTGTATAAATAAATCTTTAAAAAAAAAAGAACTGGGGTACAAGCCAGAGGAGCAGGGGGCGGGGGAGGGGTAAGAAGATTCACCAAACACAGACTGGGGAACAGAACAGGCAGACTGAGTGAAATAGACTGCTGAGGGGAGCAGCGGGCAAGACAGGAGAGGTGTGCTGCGCCATGTAGGTTGCTCCCTGGCTGGCTGAATATCGAACTCATGCTGCAGTGGCTGCGATCACTTCATAGTGCTGTCTCAACCCCTTGTGCCACCAGTATCATAATTTTAGATAAAATAACAATAAGGAATCCATAAGGAAAGTGAAAATTTGTGGTCAGACTATATTTATTGATTAAAAGTTCTCAGATAAGTTAGGTTTCACTTTGATGATACAAATAGCTCTAATGTATTATCTAAAATCTATGGGAGAAGCATTTTCTGAAAAAGAAACTCAGTTTGTTACACTCAATTATATTCACGTAAAATGCTCAAAACCTATTCTGGGCCTAGTGGATGCTAGCTGTTCCTACAGAGTATGACCCTCACCCAGGGCCTCCATGAAGTATGTTGCACAGCCCTTATTTCACATTAGCTTATAATATTGTTTACTGGAACAAGATCATGATGACAGGCTCGCTTAATGACAGGGTTACATTCTAAGAAATGCACTGTTAGGTAATTTCATCATCATGTGAATGTCACAGAGTGCACTTATACAGACCTAGATCAACAGCCCACTGTACACCTAGGCTGTATGGTATAATAGCCTATTGGGATCACCAGTGCCTATGAAGGCCATCGTTGACCAACACATCCTTAAATAATGCAATGGTGTATATAATGTTCTGGACAGCTTCGCAGCGTGGCATGGCACTCAACCGCTGCGCCACCTGGGAGGCCCCACAATGATATTATATTAAGCACTTCAATTAGTTTTTCAATTTAACCCTTTACTACAAGTTGATATTTGTTGTTATCCTATGTTAACGGTTACTCTTCTAAGTTCTTACATGTATTAACTAATTTGTCACAATGGATAAGGAAGTACTATTATTACACTAATTGATGTGGAAGAAAACTGAGGTTTCCATGTGGCTAACTAACTTGCCCAACATTGACAGCTAATAAGTGGCAGAAAAGTAGGAGTCAAACAGGTGTATCCAAGTCCCCAAGTGGTCTACTCCCAATTTATTTACAACAGATGGGAAATACTAGTTTGTACTGTTTTGTTAGCCATAACACCATAACCTCCCCATTACTATTCTATGGCAATGTCTTTCTATATCAGGAATTGAAAATAGGTTGGAGATTATGTTCATATTGAACGGAAATTCAACGTAACTGTAGAGCTCTTCTAGCATAACAGGGACGTGGATCCTATGGCCTGGAGATTGTGTTAAAATGCAGATTCTGATTCATTTGACCCAGGGTGGAATCTGCATTGCTAAGACTCTTTCAAGAAATTCTGATGCGCTGGGTCTATAAATCTCACTCTGCAGAAAAGATTGCATTGTCTCCTGCACCCCAACTTCAGTCCATTCCAAATGAAGAAAAAGAATCCTATCTCTTTGGATGGTTGAGAAGTGCCTGTATGCTTTCTGTTTTTGTGAGATATTATGCTGTTAAACAAACTTTAAATTGAACAGATATTTTAAACAAAAATATGGAAAATTAAATTATGAAATAAAGCATTTCCAACAACTCAAGATTATGCTAAATTATAGATACCAAGTCAGAAATTTATCTTCATTTTTCTGTACTAAAGATTTTAAAATCCTTAGGATCCATCAAGTCTTTCTGAATTGACTCCTATCTACCTTTTCAGGGTCATTATCACCTAATACATTCAAGCTCTGTCTTCTCCTGTCAAGTTTTACTCCTTGCTATTCTCTTAATGTCTACTTCTTAACTCCTTGCAAATCCCCATGTAATCTCTCAAGGGCCACATAAATGTCACTTTATCTGAAAAGCCTTCACTGGTGCCTGCTGGGGTGAAAAATTTTTTCTTTATACTTCTAAGTTCTTGGCTCAGATTACAGGGGGAAAGTTCTCCTTCCCCTGTAATAAAAAAGATGGATTAACAAGAGAAAACAAACAGAATTTTAATAACCTTATACCTCAATAAATGTATATTTACATGTACCTGGAGATTTAGGGGTATCTACTTAAACCTTAGTCTGTACTTTGCTCAGCTGAACAATGCTGGAAACACAAAATAGATAAGGGAAACTGACAGAGTTGCTATGAGAACCTGGACATGGATCTACATGATCAATAGGGGGTGTAGGGGAAGAAAAGTATCAGGCTTTTCTGCCCTCTTGCCATTAGGATTGATGATGGATCCCGCGGTCCTGAATGCATGCCTGATGGCGGGGCACCTGGAGTAGGGTGTGGGCATATGCAGGTGGGTTCACCTGCGCTAGTACTAGGCTTATTAAGGGCGATGTCACGGGGAAGCCAGGAGAGCGAAAGAGAGAACCAGCAGAGAAGCAGAAGCAACGAGAGAGAGAGAAGGCTGGAGAGTCCAGAAAGAGTGAAAATTCATCAGGGGCTAGAAGGCCTGCCAGCCGCCTGGCCCTTCGGCACCCCTGCCTGCCGTGTACCTGGTAAACTCAATAAAAGTCTGCAAAAGCCACTAAGGGCTGCAGGACTCTTTACCCTGTCTGCTCCAATCATAGAGATCCTGCTCTGTGACCATCCTGCCTCTACAGGGGGGTTTGGAGAGTTCCCAAGAATTTGGAAACAAGGCAAACAGAACCAGGCATGACATCTGTTTGGAAGCCCATCCCTACTCCATCCCCACCCCCTCACCTGATGTCTTAACAAAGAGCAACTGGCAAAGATCTACTCATCCAGGCATTAAAACGCCAGTGAAAATAGGTTATAAAATAGAGCCCCAAATCCTTCTGCCCACAGACATACATATTCTGTCTCGCCCCCTGCTCCCTTGCAGGGTATTTCAATAAATTCATCTTTTCTGTTTTCCACTCAGTCTTTGGTGAATTCTTTCACTCCCACACCTATAGGGCTTACCCCTTATTGCATCCCTACAGGAGATACTCAGGAAAAGAGTACCTCCCAACATGGCTGAAGGCACATCTTAAATACCATTTACAGCTAAAAAAAGATATTGGCAGTGGACGGCCATTTACAACCACGAAAAGCGTGGTACAGAAGGGTATGGTCTATTGTGCAGACTGAAGTTGGGCCTTCTCCATTTCTCTGGAGATTTTTGTCCAACTTCTTTTCCTCGGACAGGGGGACATCTTTACAAATGGAGACTTCCTTTGTAACTGCAAATGTTTCTTACAGAAGTGTAAGTGCTACTGTTTTCAGACATTCTGCCTGTTTACATTTTCTTAAAAACAACCAGCTCAAAAGAACCCTCATAAGAAAGAGGCATATTTTGAGGTGGCATATTGTATTATCCTTCCTACAATGGGCATCAATACACTTTCTTCTTTCTTATGTGCCCCTGTCATTCTTTCCATAGTCTCACTTGTTACAACACTCAACACATGGTACTAAAGAGTGCATTACCAGCAAGTTCCATTGTCCTGATATTACAACAAACACTACTCTGCCAACTAGTAAGCTATGGCTCTGCCTTCCCCAACAAATTCAAGAACTCAACACTTGTCTGCATGGCTCCAACAGTTATGACAGTTATGTTGTTGTATGACCCCTCCCCAGAATGTGAACTGGACTTGTCTTGCTTCTAATGAATACAATATGGCAAAAGTGATGCATGTCTCTTGTAAGATTACATCATAAAACGACTAAGATTCCATCTTGGCTACTTTTAAACAGTCTTTGACCATTTGTTCTAGGGGGAGCCAACTGACATATTCACATGCAGTCTAAGAAGAGGCCCTTGTGGTTGGAGACTCGAGAGCCTGGAGGGTGAATCTCGAGCTCCAACTTCGGATGCCTGCAGCGTCCTGAGACACTGAACCAAAACTACTCAGTCCACCTGCAGCTAGTCTGATACTAACATGGGGTGCACTCAAGGACCCGGACCAACGCCAGGCCTAAGGGAGTACCGGCCAGAGGAAGCCACACCCAGGTGGTGGGCGATGGGGGCGCTCACGGGCCCCCCCAGAGTCAGTAAACCCGCACACTGTCGCCGAGCACAGAGAAGATCGTCCATTCACCCGCCTACGCCGGGCGGGACGCGCCTACCAAGTGGGCTAAGACCACAGGTCCCCGGCCCTGGGCGCTTCCCCGGCACAAGCGGCGGGCGACCGAGCGCCTCCAGGCACGCCGACCTGAGCCCCCGCAGGGCGCCGGCCACCACCTCCGCGCGCGGCGGGGCGAGTGGCGTCAAGCGGCGCGGTGACGTCGGCGCGCGGCGGGCGGGGCCAGTAGACGCTACCACCGCCGCCTCCCCCCGCCCGGCGCGGCCCGCGGCCCCCGGCCCGGCGACGCCGGCCCCGACTCACCTTCCCGTCGTTGTGAAACGGGAGGCCGGGCTGGTCGGTGGGGGGCGGGGGCCGCGCGCAGCCCGTGTCCTCAGCCGCGGCGGCGACCAGCCCGGCGGAGGCGGCGGCCTCGTAGTCCAGGAAAGGGTTGGAGAACGCGCGCTCCTCCATTTCTGCCTCCCCGCCCAGATGCAACTTGAGCCTCTTAGACATGGTCTCGCCCATCTCCGCCGCGCGCCTTCCGCCGGGGCCGCGTACGGCGCGCGCGCGGGACCAACCTCCGCGAGCGCCACGACCCGCGCGGCGCCCGGGCCTGCGCGCCGGGGCCCCTCCGGACCCCTCAGGAGCGCGGCGGCGCCTCAGGGCGCGCGGGAGCCTCTCCGCCGGGCCCGCCTCGCCGCGGGCGGCCCGCACATCTGGCCGCACAGGCGTTTCCCGCGGGGCCCCGCCCGGCCCGACGCCGTCCGCAGCCTCGCCCGGGGCGGGAGGGCTCGGTCGGACCCGCGGCGCCAGCGGTCAGAGCCCGCGCCGCCGTCCGCACCGGGGGCGGGTCCGCAGGGCCCCCGCACCGCGGGACCGAGCCCAGCCCCCGCGCCGACCCTCCCCGATTTCCTCGGGGAAGCGCCGGCCGTTGGGGACCCGCAGAGGAGGCTTGCGGTCACCCCCGGCGGCGGCGGTCGGCCGACCCGGGCGCGCGTCTCCCCGGACGCGCCGGCTGCTTCTGCATCTCGCCGCCGAGGTGCCGGCTGTCGGCCAGCGGAGGCCGTTTGGTAATAAGGAAAAAAATCTCTTATAAAGAAAAGAATTTCAAACAGACTAAAACACTGCAAGGACAGCGTCTCTGGGGGGACGGGAACAGCCCCTCCTATTCATCTCCAGTGGGAGGGGGTGTCTGGAGGAGGAGCCACCGCCTGGTGGTTGTGTGTGTGTTTTCATTTTCTTTTTCTGTTTTATTTTCAGGCCCTTTGTTTTGATTAAACGGGCATCTTTGGTAAAAGGAAATAACGTGAAAACAATCATTAAATATTTAACTGACCGGAAAGATCCCTCCAATATTACTCTAATTGCCCCGGGGTCATAATGTATAATAAAGGGACACGAGCAAATCCATCTTTGCATTTATATCATCACAATCATATCACTGCAAGTTTAACTTCAGTCTTTATTGGGTCTTTCTGTTCTTGTTTCTTTGGTTATTTGGAAGCGAAGCGATGTGGTGATTTCACCTTGAGGAAAATGTCATTTCAGATTTGTGGGTTTTATTTCCCCCATTTAAACATTAAATGCTAGATGATGACAAATAGATGAAAAAAGATTTCGCCGCTCTCTGAATTTCAAGCTGGTGGGTGAGAAAGGTAAGGGTTCAGCATGATGTGGATACGTTTTTTTTGGAACCAAGCAAGGTATACATTATTAATTTGACACAAAATGTGTCACATAATAATAATGTGTCATTATTAATTGACACACAATGTCAATCACTCCTGCCTTTAAGCCCTGGCTTTCTACTACTGCCCTGACCCAGTGTCTCCCCCAACTCCAGGAAGGCCATGAGAAACACCTCCTAGTGAAAGGATGACAGAGAAAGAACTGTGTAGGAGAAAGTCATAGTAAAGTGGTTACTCAGCATGACTGTCCCCAGAGTTCAAGGACACAGGGCTGATGGAACAGGATGCCTGTTCCACTTTGCTGTTTCATTCTCTTGTCTCTGGGTCCATCTTTCTCCCATCAGTGAAATAAATTCTTCCTTGCTCCAGTTTTCATGCCTACCCCCAATAGAAAATACAATCCACTAAATACTGATGCTCACCTGCTGTAGGAACAATCCTCTGCCACCCAGAGATTTCACTAGACATAATAACCACCGCAGGCTGCCCTAAACCCGGGTTACTTAAACTTCAAGACCACAGGCGGGTCCACATCCACTGCTAACTGAAAAATAGAAACCCAATTAAGCCTAGTGAACTTTTGACCTCTGATTACCCCTTGTGTAAGGTGAAAATAATTTTCTCATTCTTCAAATTTGGTAGTTACCTGTGGACAACTGTTGGCAAATAAAGAAATTTGTCCTAAAGACAACCAATATTTTAAAGACTGAAAAATAGAAACCCAATTTGAGGACGTGGCTTTTTTTTTTAAAGATTTATTTATTTATTTATACAAGAATTGGGTACAGTCAGAGGCACGGGAGGGTGAGAGAATTTACCAGAGCCAGAGCAGAACAGGCAGACTGATGAAGTACACTGCTGAGGGGAGCAGTGGGCAGCAGGACAGGTCTGCGTGCCATGTGGGACCCTCGCCCGGTGGCTGGGGATTGAACTGGTGCTGCAGAGGCTGCGGGCAGCTTCGCAACCCAGCGCTCAACTGCTGTGCCACCGGGGAGGCCCTGAGGACATGGCTTGTTTTCTTTTCTTTTTCTTTTTTTAAAGATTTATTTTTTATTTATGCAAGAGCAGGGGTACAGGCCAGATGTATGGGAGGGTGAAAGGATTCACCAGAGAGAGTGGGGAACAGAACAGGCAGACTGACGAAATACACTGCTAAGGGGAGCAGTGGGCGAGACAGGAGACGTCTGCCACGCCATGTGGGGCCCTCGCCCGTCCAGCCGGGATTGAACTGGCACTGCAGAGGCTGCACACAGCTTCACAGCTTCGCAGCACTCAACCGCTTGCGCCACCAGGGGAGGCCCCATGGCTTGTTTTCTAAAGGCTGTCTGATCTGCAGGTCCTCTGCCCTCCCTGGAGATTTTATTTACATTATTGTACAGAGAAATGACAGGTCTTTCTTCACCCTCCTGTTTCCAGAGGCTTTTTAATGCAGAAAGGAGGGAATCCATTCTACTCCCACTTAAGTGACCACCTGCCTTTGGTGCCCACACTAGTAGCATAAAGACTTGACCAGTGCATTGAAATTAAATCTTTTTACTTACCTTATGCCAAAAAGCAAATTCTTAGGGTATCAGTCTCAACGTGTGTATCTAAGTGGGAGAAGGTAGTGCCATTATTAACTATATCCCCATCCAAACAAGCCCATAGGGTGGTAAAGTCAATTCACAACTGACTTTCTCATACCTGTCAAAAGAATCTGATTAGAGAGAGGAAAGTTTTGTTTACCTCTTGAAAGAATCTGGGCATTCTAAAAAGGCCCAGGGAGTGAGACTTCCTCCTGTAGGAGGTAGTTTTCCTGTGAAGTGAGGTATCATGGCTGAGAAATTTACAGGTGCATGCATGTTGCCAGTTGGTCAGGTGAAGGAGCATCTATATGAGGGTCTGAGATTTTGTTTGTGATCTTTATTAACAAATATTTCTCTTTTTATTATATCTATTCTTCATATGTGAGTCATCTGACAGGCTTTAGGTTCACCCTTGTTCCTTAGTCACTGGTGAATCCTATGGTCCCCTGTGCTTGCCAAAGTTGCCCAGATCTCCATTATGAACTTTCCCTGGATGGTACAAGGGAATACAAGGAGGCAAATGACCAGACTGCTCATCCTATACTGCAATTCCTTACTGAGATTGCCCAACATTTTGTTCATCCATGAGGATCGAGGTTATTGGCTTGAGCCCAGATGGATGGGGGAGAGGTACCTTTTTCTCTGTTGATAGACAAAATGACTCCTTTCGGTTGCAAGTCACACACATACACTACCTGTGGCAGATAGCCCTGATTTAATACAAATAGAAACCCTTAAGCCACCAATTTTTCCAGGATGATCATGGACACTTTTGGGTGGCTAAAACTTTCTATTTTCCCTTGAGAATAATTTAATATGTTAACATAAAACCATATGCTAATTCATTTTAAATTTAAAAATGTGGATCCTTACAAGACCAAAATAACCTACAGGCCATGAAGTTGGGTTTTCCTTTAAAAAAAACCTTTTTTTTTAGGCAAATGTGTATCACAACGGTTCAACAAGTAAGGCAAATGATGTGAGTTTGAAAGCTGCAGTTTGAAATATACCACATGGAACCTGTGAGAGGTGATTGGGCAAAAGCGGTAGTCATTGTAATTAACAATCAGGTAACAACGTGACAGGTTAGTCCGCAGCACCAAAATTGTCCATTTTAAGATTCTCTTTTCTCACTACTCAGGGGTCGCCTATCTCCCTGTGTTTTCTATGAAATCCATCACAGAATGAGAACTTTTTGAACCTCCAACAACAGCAGTACAGCTTCATCCTCAAATCTTCCATGTCAAATCATGTACTGTCTTGGGGTTGTCTTTGTGGATGTGAAGGTTTACCATAGATCTGCTGCAATGATCTTTAATGTAAAATCTGTTGTAAGCTAGCTAAGCATTTGCAGCTGTCACAGCAGCAATGGTAAAGTGGTCTATCCAACTGGTACACGAATCATACTCATGAGACCATCTCCTGCAAGACGGGTTCATTTGGACAGCTGAAGTCGAGGTGCAAGAGGCACCCTACTGCATTATTTGCCTTTTTCAGAAGAATTCTCTCATTAGTATAGTGGGATTTTCCAGAGGCAACATGATATGGGATGTCATAGGAGATTAAATACAGAAGCAGATGTAATGAATTCAGCTCAGGTGGGGAAAGATTTGGAAGAATATAAAACAATGCCATTGTTCTTATAACATTTTGGTTTTGAAAAGTTATTTTTTATAAAAATTTGTCTATGTGTTGTCAACCTGTAGCATGTAATATAGTAAAAAAATGTGTTGTGAACCCATAGCATGTAATTTATGCTGACATGTTGATAAATTAATACATGTTTTTAAATTTTCTAGTTTTAATTTCTGATTGGTACATATTAATAGATAGCACCCATACAAATTTTTTGATGTCTTCAATTTTTTTAAATGTAAGGGATTCCTGGCCTCCTGGTGGCACAGCGGGTTGAGTGCAGCGCTGTGAAGCTGTCCGCAGCCTCTTCAGTGCAGGTTTGATTCCCGGTCGGCCAGGGAGAAACTCGCATGGAGCGGCAGACCTTTCCTGCCTCGCCCGCTGCTCCCTTCAGCAGTGTCTTCGGTCCGTCTGCCTGTTCTGCTCCCTGCTCTGTCTCTGGTGAATTCTCTCACCTTCTCGTGCCTCTGACTGTACCCCAGTTCTTGTATAAATAAATAAAACTTAAAAAAAAAGTAAGGGATTCTGAGACCAAAGATTTGAGAACTATTGCCTTCAGTCAGCTATTTCATCAGGCAGATAATAGCATTTCAGAAACATGGAAATTTCAAATCAGCCCAGTGTATAGATGAGTCCTGCAAAGTGTGCCTGTGAAGAGACCAGCACCTCCCTCTCC